GGGGGGGGGGGGGTTGAGGGATGTGGAGGGGGATGGAGGAGAATGAAAGAGGAGGCCACGCATGCAAAATCTCCTCTTCATCATCAGCTTGGCCAAGTCATTCCACAGCCAGTTCTCGCACTACATTCAGGAAGCTCCTCAAGAGCAAGTTACGCTTTGGGGTTCCGTGGGGATTCTCCCTCTGGTGTTCATAGCCGCCGTGGCAAGGGCAGCGCACTGGTTTGCCTGGCAGTTCCAGCAAGAGGCTGGCAAGGGCTGGTGTAAGTACCTATGCGGACACCCATGCCGCTGCCACCAGCACATCCTCCAAGAGCTCTGCTGGTGGCGTTTGGGGGAATAGGTCCTATCTGCAGCTCATGATTTTTCCCAGAAGGGGCAAATTCTTCTCGTAGGCTTGTGAATGCTTTCACCTGTTACTGTACAATGCTAGCACGGTGGGGCAGACACGTATCATGCAGTTCTCAGCAGGGAGAACGATGAGAGAGAGAGAAACTGATATCACCAGCATTAAGGGAAAAGCTTTCATTAAAAACATTTATAAACCGAGTTCATTTTTCAGGGTTCCTGTGCTGCTATTGACAGGCCCCGGCTTTTAAGTCTGGGGTAGGTTCAGATTAAAGTACCTGTGTACAAACATCTGTCGGTATCCTCATGGGCCACAGACCAACTTTTTTTGCGGCCTTTCCTATTGCTGCCTCAGTTTCAGCCCCTTCCCTAGCTGCATGTGTAACCCCTTCCAGGAAAACCTGCTCTCTCGAATCTACACGTCCCAAGAGCCCGCCCAGCACTTGTTAGCTCATTCCTGCACCTCATCTAGAAGCATGTGGGGGGACCCTTTCTCTTAGCCCTACTGATTTTTTTTGTTGTATCATGCTATTCCTTTCACCTTGCTCTCCCTCCTCCCCTGAGGTGTCGCTGCCCCCACTGCTGCAGAGCAGCACACTTTCTTCTCAACACCAAGTAGTGCTACATATCCCCAGCAACAGCAGCTCTAACACCCCCATCATCCAAAACATAGCCAGAAGCCCTGTTTTCCTCCAGAACTGCTATTACATAACAGTAACACAGACTGTTGCTACTCAGCTACCCTCTGGTGTCGATTCTTCATGAAGTCTGTTCTCTGAGACTCCCCATATAGACTTAACTCATGCAATTTAAATTATTTAAGTGGCTTATTGATACAGCCAGTGGAAGAACAGGGTTCATCCACCAGGACGGCCAGATGAGCACTCTGAATCTTGAGCCAAACCATGTTTCTGTTCAGCTTTTGGATTTGCAACTGAAAAAAAAAAAAAAGCACAAAAAGCTACTGGGACAAAGAAAAGGCAAACCACACAAAGCAGTCTCTGAACAAAAAAACCTCAGAACAAACTACAAGAAATATTGGGGTAGAAAATAAAACCCTTCACAGATATCTTTTCACAATAAGCTGCTTTAATACTACATCAGGACTCAGATATTAACTTATAAACAAGTTATTATTTAAGAAGCTCTCGTCTCTCAAGTAGCCTTCAATAATTGATTGTAAAAGCAGTATTAGTCGTTTAGTATTAGTAAAAACTCTCACTTCAACAAGCCTTTGCACTCACAATGTCAGTAAAGGTATCTCTGAGCAAAGAACAAGCAAGCAAAAACCTCCCTAAAGCTCCAGCTAGTTTGACAGTCTGCACAGCTGGTTACTCCAACATTTATTTTAAAGTTTGTTTTACAGAAAAATACTCTTAGTACTTTTTTGGACAGCCTCATTTTTACATAAGACTAGAACTGTACTCCGCATACGTCTTACATCAGTCTGTAAGTGTACTCTTCAAGAAAGAGTTCCTCACACACAAACCCAACGTTTTTAGTCTTTATTAACTTCGTGTTGTTACGATGATTAAGAACTAAGTACAACATAAACTACTTACATCATACTATTGATTTTATAGGAGAAGGCAAATCAAATTCAAACCTACAAGTCTTCTTTTTATTAACAACAAAAGCTTTAGATAAGATAATAGGCAGGGGAATACTCATGTTGAGACTGAAACTGCAAGTCCTCAGCCACAGTCCCGACCTTTTGTACTTCCCATTTCTTCAGCCTCAGAGAAGGGGAGAGGAGGATCAGGCAGATCATTTCCACGTGGAAATAGTTGCTCTGTGTCATTTCCACACAGCGGCTACCTTTGCTTCTGCTCTCTTACAACAGCCACCAGTTTGTTAGCAGCAGTGTTTAACAACCGAGTCAGATCTTCTGCGACCCGAAGGAAAAGGAAATATTCGTATCAAACCAGAGAAGGCAAAGAAACAGCTTGTATCTTCAGAAATTTCTCTCTCACCTATTAACCTTGTCATTAGGGACCATGGCATGCATCAAGCTGAACTGTTGACTCAATTCAAGTTGGAAGTGGGCAGGAGCTTTTGCTGCGCAGTGGCTGTTCACACAACCATAGAAAACAAATTTGGAAACTTAACTGCTCAGTGGCTGTACTAACCCCACACATTGTTACAATGACCTAGCATGGGGGGGAAGGCTGAAGTACAAAATGATTAGTGGAGACTTGTGGGCTCATCCTTAAACATTTTTTTTCTAGGTCAATATTAAAAAAAAACCCAAAAAAACAAACTGTGAAAATGACATGGGGTAATGTAGTTTGGAATGGCAGCTGGCCTGTTGCAAATCAGGGCCAGGCAGAAATATTCTGTGCCTGGAGCTTTGTTTTAGTCTTCGCTAATACAAAGTTCCCTTAGAGTATGTGGAGGATATAAGAGC